TCTATCAGTCCAAATAGATAATCACTCAAATCTTCCCCACCTCCACCTCCTCTTGAATTCAGCAACAACACTTGGGGATCCTAAAGCTATGATGAATTATCAAAAACTATGTTCTTTCCATAGGGAGCCAAGAACCTGGAAAAAGCTGGAGGAGATTACCAATGGGGGAGAGAAACACACACACACACACACAGAGAGAGAGAGAGAGAGAGAGAGAGAGAGAGAGAGAGAGAGATCTTAATATGGTTAAATGTTTCAAAATATCATTACATTGTATAGATTGCTGAGTGGTATATTTCTCCACATACATTGTTTTCATTTCACATACATGTGAAAATCCCACATCAATTCACTCTCAGAATTTTCTAAGTTGCCTAATGAGTTGACATTACTCTACTATAAATCTTATTTGTAAATACTGGTCATAAAATAAACATCATTCACTGGTAATGGAAGCATACTCCTGTAATCCCTGTTTTTCAGAGCAATTGGGGTGAGGGTATTGAACTTAAGTCCAGTCAAGGCTATACTGTGAGCCTCTTTCCCAAATAATACTAATAAATACTTATACTAATATTAATTGTGGTGCTTTATATGAAATGTCCCTCATAAACTCATAAAGAGTGGCATTATTAGGAGCTGTGACCTTGTTGGAGTAGCTGTGGCCTTCTTGGAGGATGCATGTTACTGGGGGTGGGTTTTGAAGTTTCAAATTCTCAAACCAGACCCAGTATCATTCTCTCTTTCTACTGCCTGAGGATCTAGATGTAGAACTCTAAGCTACTTCTCCAGTACCATGTCTACCTGTATGCTGCTGTGCTTCCTACCATGAAGATGATGGACTAAACTACTGAACTGTAAGTCAGCTACAATTAAATGTTTTTCTTTAAGGTCATGGTGTCTCTTCATAGCAATAATTCCCTAAGAAACTAACGTTAATACTATAGTAATAACAATAGCAATAATGGTTTTCTAGTGTTTGATTTTACATCTAAAATCTGTATTATTTTGCTTATAGTGTTCATTTGAAATTAGGCTTTAATAGTTAAAATGTGTACCATAAATCCTAAAAGATTGAAACATTGTAGTCAACGAATTGCATAAAATAGAATCACTAAAATTTTGAATTTATACAAATGAAGACAAAAACTGAAAAGACAAAATAAATAGGAAATAAGTATTAAATGATTAATTTAAAGCCATTTACATCAATACTCATATCAAATGTTGAGTGGCTTTAAAACTAAACAAAAACATTGTTTATTTTCAAAGTGCAGTTAGGTTGTACTAAAAAATCTAACTATACACAATAGAATTTCATCTCAAATGCATTCTGTATAAGTAAAATGTGCATATATTATATGGAGGTAATATTTGCAAATGCTGGGGTATCTCTATCAATGCCCGATGAAGTAGAATTTAGAGGTAAAATATTGTAAGATGTAAACAATCACTTAATTTCTAAATGACAATAAGACCTTGTTTGTGCAAATATATGAAGACGACTAAGATGTCATGGCAAAAAGAAATACGTAAATTCATAATAATAATGAGGGATAGTCATATTTCTCTCAGTAACAGATAGTACAGCAGATGAAACACCAGGAGGATACAGAAAACTTGAATAACATTATCCAGCAACTTCACAGAATGTATTTGCATACGTTTCATACTGAGATAATAAGATCAAGTATGTTCATTAGCAAGTGCCTAGTCTATCAGTAAAATAATTTAAAATATTCAAATATAAGCACTAATTTACATTCTAAATGTAAATAGAGATAAATATTTCAACAAACGAGTGCTTGCTTGTTCTTTTGTTTTAGATCTGGGGTTTTAGAAACAGCATCATACAGTAACACAGACAAGTCTTGAACTTCTGCCAGCACTCTTGCTTCAGCTCCTGAGTGCTGGGATTATATGTATTGTAAAGACTATAAAGACTTAACTATTATTGATTTGAGTGCATATTGAAAATAGTTTAAAAGACTTCTCTGTCTTGGAACTAACTCCAAGACTATGTGAAAGTTTAAAGTATGAAGTTTAAAACTTTCATTTCATGTAGCATACAACTCTATGCACCAGTACCCTAAGAGGAGGTGAAATCATTATTTAGGACCACTTGTTCCATAATTTTGTTTGTCAGTGAAAAGGTAAATCTGAAGACATTTTAAACAAAATGTTCAATATATATTTGATCTGAGATGCCACAGATTATAAAATGTACTATTAGTTTACATTGCTGAATTAAACTAATTTTTCTCAACTATAAGAGTTGGGTGGGTAGGGAGATGGGGAGGATCTGGGAAGCATTGGGAAAAGGCAATTATGATCAGAATATATTGCATGGATCATTTTTTCATTAAAGAAATAGAACAGGATTGTTTGCTCTATAGAGCATGCAGAAGATTTAATGTGACATCATAAGAGCATACCACCTTCTGAAATTTTAAAATGTAAAACATGTATGTATTCTGAAATGTTAAGTGGAGCGTTCAAAGATATAAAAACACAAACAGATGTAGGGTGTTTAAATCAGAAGCTAAAACTGTTACCACTAAATGAGCTTGGTTAAACTGAATTCCAATTAATGTCTCACTGAAATAGCTTTACAAGCCTATGCGTTTCTGGGCAGATTTATAAATTCTGTGCTTTGACCACTTGAGTAAGAAAGATATTCTCAAGCTTTTTGTTGGTACATATTGGTATAAGATACCTATAGCAAAGGTAAACAGGCATTACCTAACATAACGAGTTATTTACTCAGAAACATTTGAAATGTGTGAGTTTCTTAAACTTTACCCCAAGCCTGGAGCTAAGTATTTCTATTGATATCTTCTAAAGTCTTAAGCTCTGTACAAAGGTCACTAAGTAATCACTCAATTCAATGCCTTTGGGCTACTTGAGGATGTATTATAATGTGCAGCCAGAATCGGGTACCAACCACATTTATTTTCCAGAGTTTCATGGAAATTGACACCAATTGATAAATGAAGAATTCAAGGGGGCCAGAAGTTAACAAATAGGAATTTCATACTTACAGAGCTATGTGGTGTATATAGACATAAAATCGATAATTTATTTCAAATAAAATTTAAATTTCTAAATTATAATATATTGAAGCAAACTTAGCAAGAAGAATTTGTTTTATTTAGATGAACTAGCATAGTCCTCAAAATTTGCCTATTTCTAAAGTTCCTACTTGTCACATAACAAGGAAATATGAATATTTTATGCTCACCACTGAAATATTTTTCTCAAGTGATAGTTTCTTCTAATACTGATGGGATAATTCCTTCTGTATGTGTGTTCCTCTTACTGGCTGATGAATAAAACACTGATCAACGAGTACCTAGGCAGGAAGTATAGGCGGAGCTACCAGACTAGAAGAATTCTGGGGATAGGAGGAGAAGATGTCAGAGCAGATGCCATGTAGCTGCTGAGGGAATAAGATCTTCTGGTAAGATAAGACCATGTGGAAATACTTAACCATTTGGGTTAATAATTAAGAGAGAACTAGCCAATAAAAATCCTAAGTCATCGGCCAAAAAATTTTATAATTAATATAAGTCTCCGTGTGTTTATTTGGGGCTAAACAGCTGTGAGATCAGGTGGAACAGAAACTGTGTCTACATAATATCACTAATTTATTTATAAAATAATAGTAATATTAGTGTTAGCAGTATACATATTAATTATGATAAAATGTCAAGCCTCTTCTAAATTTATAACATATAAATTTTAGATACCTGTCTTCGTGTATAGTATGGTAGTTTATTAATAAAGGTATTTATTAGTAAATAGGGTTCACTATCATATACTCTACTACAAAATCTTTGAAATTCTTATTTAGCATGGTTTATTGTATACATTGCCATTATTTTTGGAATACATTTATAATATTCTTTTTCTTTTTCTTTTCTTCTTTTTTCTTCTTTTTTTTTTCGAGACAGGCTTTCTCTGTGCCTTTGGAGGCTGTCCTGAAACTAGCTCTTGAAGACCAGGCTGGTCTCAAACTCACAGAGATCCGCCTGCCTCTGCCTCCCGAGTGCTGGGATTAAAGGCTTGCGCCACCAACGCCTGGCATATAGACCCTTTGCTCATGTATTATAATGAAGGAACCAGCTTCCCTTTTGGCAGCCATAACAGCTGAACACGTGCTTGCCATAAGCCTACCTTGGTCACGTAGAGGTCAGATGCCTGTCTCGTGACAAGGAACCCATCAGAAGTTAGTCACTAGCTCGTGACAAGGAACCAATCAGAAGTCAGCTGGTGGCGCTATGCTTTACGACCCTGGGTGTGCTTTACGGACAAGCACACAGCAATGATACACAAAGCATAGCAACCACCCTGGGAGGGCCTATGAGCCATAACAACCAGTTGACCAATCAACATAGGGCAAGCCCTCCAAGCCTGGAGGCACACCATTCGTGAGCCTGTGTGTAAGCCTGTGCGTACCCCTAGACATTCCCCTTACGCTGCCCTATAAGATCTTTTGGGAGCCCGTAGGAGCCGTCTTTTCTAACCGTCCGCCATGGCGGGTGGGTGAAAGACCCAAGCTAACATGGAGTTAACTAGTTAAATTACAATAAAGCCTCGTGCAGTTTGCAGCAAGCTCTCGAACCGCCTGGTGATTGGGGTGACCGCGAACCTGGTCTGGGACCCCGAATACTTGAGCTTTCAGGGGGTGTCTAACAATAATATCCAGTTTTGTGTTTTAGTGTGTGTGTGTGTGTGTGTGTGTGTGTGTGTGTGTGTGTGTATGTGGTCTTTCTCTTTTTTCTTCTTTCTATTGTGTGTCTCTTGCCTGTTTGTCTACTTTGTTTCCTAAAGAGAGAGAGAAAGAGTAATGGAGTTGGGGAAGTGAGAGCATGTGCAACATCTGGGAGAAATTGGGGAAAATGGATACAATGATCAGAATATACTGCATGGAACTTTTTTTCCATTAAAACATTACCAGAGACTGAACCTTCGCTCTACAAAGCTTGCAAATGAGTTACCTTATCTTTTCTCTGTTTTTCATCCTGGTACACAGTCCAGTGTTCCCCATCATTGCTGTAGGCTAGCTTGTATGAACCAACAAATTGCACGTGACCAAAATCCTTAGCCCCTTGTGTGATGATGCCTGTCACTTTGGTAGGGACAAGGAGATCAACCTAAAAAGAAGAGAGTACATTCATTAAATTGAATGAATTAATCCATTATGCACTTGCAAACTTCTTGAACTTAAGAGGTTAAAGGCCATATATGCTGAGTGTAAAATGCTCCTGGTTATTTTTACTTTGAAATAGATGAAAGAACCATTTATCATTGGCTCATATTTTTATTTTTCCTTGAGATATATTGTCTAAGATGTCTTGGACAACCATGCTGACTGTTTTAAAATAAAGTGGTGGACAGCTTAGCTTAGCAATTCTTCTCATATTAAACTCATTCACCTGTCTTGCAACCTTCTGACACGGAGCATGAACATTTGTCCTCATAATTTAATGTACAGATTTACTGGTCAATCTAATCATAGAAAAACAAAGCAATATAGTATGTTGTCAATTAAAGGCAATTGTTGCTCCACAAAAAGCAATATGACAGTATATGGCATTTGACAATGAAATATTAAATAAGATAGCCATCAATTTTCTGTGAATTTTGTTCAATTCAGAAATACATAATTGATTGACATTAATTATTGTGCACTGAAAATCTCCTTCCAGAAATATATAATCCTAAATAATTTGAGGATAAAATCATGTGTTTAAAAGTGAAGGACATGCATAAGAGCAACAGGAGAAGACGAAACAATCAAAGAATTAACAATATAAAAGTCGAACTGTAGGGCCTAAGCTATTGTATTTTGTTTTTCCTGAATAATAGTGAATGAAACCTGTAAATGAATCCAATGAGTGAAAACTATAAATGAAATGAATAAAACCTAAGCTGTTTTGTATTAAAATTATCAAAATATAAGTGAAACCCAGGAGATATGGATGCTTTTTAAAAATAACAATATAAAACAGTTCCAGAATTTTCCTACCTATTTTTAAACTCATTATTGAACCTTTTTTTTACACATTGTAACTCTAGTGAAAACTAAATTTAGAAACTTTATTTTCTTGGCAGGCAACTTTTGAAGTCAACTTTGCTTTTATTTGTATCCCTTGATCTACAGCTTCCTTTTTTCCTGGACAATGCACCCTCTTGCAGCCATTTCCTGTGACTAAGCTCCATCCTTGAACTTATTATCTTTAGCCACCATGATCTCAGAGAGACCCTGGTACTTTCAAACATGGTGTTCTTTTGTTCCTATTTCAGGTCTTCTCTGCTATGTGATTGCAAGGTAACCCTAAATCAATGGTCATGGGTCAGATACAGGCCATGGATGATAACAGCTATATGCATAAATAGAAAGAAAGCATATTTAGTGACACCAATACTCATAAAAATAGGTGAAAATTTTCCTAAGTGTTAAACTTTGGGATTACACACAAAAAAATGTATATAAGTGTCTGTGTGTGTGTGTGTGTGTGTGTGTGTGTGTGTGTGTTTAAATTTATATGGACTGTTTTCATTTAGGGGGATATCCACTTTAAATGGTAAGATAAATTTAAATGATTAATTAAGATAGAGGAATGCTTCTACGGGTTTGTGAAAATATTTCAGAAGGAAACATCATTGGTGAATTATATCATTTAAATACCAAGAATGTTGTGAGTAAAGGTGATGTCCTGGGAATGGATGGTGCCTCATATTGTTCTGGGGATATTAAAGCACAGATTCCAAAGGTAAACAGAGAATAAAGAACCTGAGATTCTGTGCTATTTCATTTTGTTTCAGGTGTCTACCACAAGATTGAATTCTTCCATCAGCTAATCATACTTTCAATAAATCAATGATTTTACCTTTTGGGGGGGAAATAGTGAATAATTTCTAAGGAATATCTACTCATTAAATTGACAGTATGTAAAAAGCAACAAGAACAATGCTGCATTTACATTAGGAGAATTCTGTTTTAACATGAATTCTTCTGTACTTTGTCTGATTCAGCTTAAAACCCAGGTTTATTTATTTATTTATTTATTTATTTATTTATTTAATTATTTATTTATTAGTTGAATTACAAACAAGATTGAATTACTTGATGATCCCAGTTCCCTTCTCCCTCCCTTCCTCCTCTACCACCCCCCCCCAACTAAAATCCTACCCAGGGAGCTTTTACTGTTACATATCCAAATCTAATTGCTCAGAGACCCTTGGTCAAAGCCTTATGTCTATCATAATGTTCTTCATTCCGTTGACATTCAAAACTGAAAAATAAATAAGCTACCCGACTAACTGAGCCACTGTGTACCACCACAATCTACAAACACACAGGAATTCAATGGCTCAGGGATGTGAACCTCTCAGGATTGACTCTTAGCCCAAAATGCCTGTGAATCCTCGACTCAGATGTGACAAGTGTTTGAAAATCTGCTTCTGTGCTGATTCCTACAGTCATTTGGGGTTCCTCCAGGGTGGAAATGTTTTCTCATACATTGCATGCCTTGACTCTTTCCACTAGATATGTTTTCCACCCACTCTAACTTGCTACCCACCTCTAGCTTTTTTTTTTTTTTTAATCTAGAAATGTTTTTCTGTTCTGTTTCAGATCAGCTAGCGTCTGTACTTAAACAGGCAGCATAGGCAGCAATCTGTTTCAACCTGGAATTTATCCTAAAATTCCCTGCATTAAATTTAGACCATCAGTTCTAAGAAGGCTTCTTTCAGTGTAAAAATAATTTTGACTCATATGTAAAATGAGCTTGATGAAACAGAGCATACACAAAACTATCCTAAGCAAGACACTCTGGGATTTCTGGCTAATGACCTCTTTTTCATGTAAATCTGAGTTAAAGTGCAACTGCAAACTTTATGGATTAATAATAAATGGAATGAGTAGTATGAAAGACATTAGTTAGCAGATCAAATAAAGTTGAGACAATAATTAAAGTCTGTCATAACTTTGTTAGCAAAGAATTCATTTGAGCAACAAATCACAGTCCATCACCAAGGTAAACCAGGACAGGAACTCAGAGGAGGAGTCTGGAAGTAGGAACTGAAATAGAGACTACGGAGGAGTGCTGCTTTTTGGATTGCTCCTGGCTCACTTTTGGCTACCTCTCTTAAATGGTCAAAGCCCAGCTGCCTAAGGATGATACTGCCCAGAGTGGGAGGAGTCCTCCCAAAATATTTATCCATAAGGCAAATTCACTAATAGAAACCTTTAGACCAATCTGATGGAAGGAATTCTTCAGTTGATGTTTCTTCCCCACAAATGACTCTGGGTTCTGTGAAATTGACAGCTAATTCATATCAGCTGCTGCTTAAAATCTTTCATCTAGTAACATGATTGTAGCCATTTGTTTTCCTCCTTATCACCTCAATAGTAATTTTCTGATATATAGTAATTTAAGACATGCTTTGTTCCATATGGGACTCCATGATATCCATTTATGAATAAAAAATACATGTGTTTTGCTCTTCAGTATTTTCACCAAAATCAACAAAACCCCAGTGTCTTATAATCTATTTCCAGAGATAAATTTTTAAAAACGGGATAGTAAAAGGGATTTATATTTAACACAGAACAATATGGTTGGTTGAAATAAGTGTATCAGGGCAAAAAGACATAAGGAATGTACATAGGATGACATATAATTATACTATCTGAATTTAACACTGTTTACTTTTAATTCTTTTGTTTTTACACAATCTTTATATCAAATGCTTTCACAAGCTTAGCTCACAGTGTATAAGTAGCTTTGAATTTTGTATTATTTTTATATTGGGTGTTTTGCATACAACAACAGCAACAATAATAACAAGTTGTCATGGCTATATTATTTTTTTTATTGCAGATATATGCTCTATGAAAAATATTTCATCATTTCCTCTTGATAGTCATTTGTTTCCAGTTCTTCTCCCTACAGCCAGAATATAAGCAAATTTTTATTTATGTTTCATTGTTCATTGCTGTTCTGTTTCTTTATAGACATTAAGAACATGCTACTAGAATCACTTCATGCATTGTTCCAATTTGCTCCATATTTATAGGCTTTTATCTACTGCATAAGTATTTCCCTCTATTACTCACAAAATCTCTCTTGTAGGATAATTTATGTCTATGACACCCCCAATAGAATGGGCGGTTTTAAATTTTGTGTCCTGGAGTGGCACCGAGTGACATTTAGTTGTCCCTTTCCTACCTGTTCATTTTCACTAACAATACGCACATTATCCTCCTTAATGTACTGTTACAGATATTCTTGTTCATCTTTGAGCTTCATAGTCTGTCTAGCATTTGCACTTTCTGTAGATGACTGTGTAATATTATTTTATATTTGACATTATAAAATGTTAAGCTTTCCTTACTCAAGTCTACCATACCTTTGTGATTGTATAAGATTTTGTGGCTTAAAATAACTGTCTAATTTCATCTGCTAAAAATTATTTACATGGTCTATAAATTCTACTATATTTTTTATTGAGTTTTAATAGTAAGTTATCTTGGGTACATATATAAATGTATGTATTACGCGCGCGCACGCGTGTGTGTGTGTGTGTGTGTGTGTGTGTGTGTGTGTGTGTGGTGTTTGGTTCCGCAGCTGTCAGACTGGGGTCAGTGAGCTCCCACCTGCTCAGGTCAGTTGTTTCTGTGTGTTTCCCCAGCACAGGGTCTTGATCCCTTTGTTCATCTCTCCTCCTTCTATGCAACTATATTCCAGGAGTTCAACTCAGTGCTTAGCTGTGAGTCTCTGCTTCTGCTTCCATCAGCTACTGTATGAAGTCTCTAGGATGGGATTATAGGGGAAGGGCATTTAAGGTAGCTTCTCCACTATCACTTAGATTCTTAGTTGGGGTCATTCTTGTGGATCTCTGGACATTTCCCTAGTGACAGTTTTCTCTTTAAACCTGTAATGGCTTCCTCTTTTAAGGTTTCTCTTTACTTGCTCTCCTCTATTCTTCACCCAACTCAATCTTCCTGACTCAAAACAAACAAGAATCATCAATCAATGGTCATTAATATCCATCAATATCAATAGTCTTAAGAAATTCACCTATAAAAAGACACATGCTGACAGAATAGATATGAAGACAGAATCCATCCTTCTGCTCCATATAA